GTACTTTTAAGGAAGAAAGGGGATGTAGCCAAATTAAAGTCAGTAATTTTGAGTTTAATATTTTATATATGTATTCTTTTTACTTCCTTCTACGAAGTAAAAAGGAAGTATTGCTTTTGTGTCTTAAAATAATAAAACTTTAATATTGAATATTGTTATAATTAATAAATAATTGTATGCAGAGATAGAAATTTTAAGATAAACTTAGAAGGCTCCACCTCTTGGAAAAAAAGTATTATATAATGAAATCAGGTTTTAATTTTTTTTTTTTTTCGCATCATGAAATGTTTTAACGCAGTTCAAGAAGGCTACATGCCTTTAATCAAGGAACAAGAGGCCTTTATAAGTTCACTGTCTAGCACTCCTTTAACCCCTTAACTGCCGCGGGCGTATATATACGCCTTGCTCAGCCGATGCGTTAACTGCCGCAGGCGTATATATACGTCCTTCCAAACTGCTATCATTTGCTTTGCGCTGCTACACCTAAAATTATTCGCAAAGTTAACGCATCGGCTAGTTTCAGGCAGCATATTTCAACGAAAATATCCATTTTGACCGCTATCGAATGAAATTTAACGACGTTTTTGCGTGATATCTGTATGTAAGGACAGAATAAAATACTCTTTTCCTTCAAAAAAATTATAAAATTGCTTTAAAATTAATTCTGAAGAGAATTTTTCGTGGCGTCTGTACGAACGTATGCACGTACGCATAACTCAAAAACGAGTAGCATCAGAACTTTGAAATTTTGTATATAGGACTGCTATAACATGTAGATGTTCACATCGTATTTTGGTTGCAATCGGCCGCACCAAACAAACGTATATAATATATTTATATATATATATATATCCACTCTGTTACCCGGCTCAGTGATCTCAGTTTCTTTACTCTTATATGTTTGTAAATTGTACATTTTTTGCTTTAAAAATGATTGTATTATGTTGTTTTTATCTTCCGGTTAAGATTTTTATGCCTTTAGTAAATCTGTATGCAATATTTTTAGAATTATCAACAATTTTAAAGTTGTCTAAGTTCCGCTAAGCCTTTTTTTATGGCGACCATTGATGTTTACATTTGAAACAGGAGACTAGTGGATTTGTTGCCAATCTAGAGAAACTTATCTTCCCAACAACAAAGATAACGCATTCATTTATTATTGCCAATTAAATCATGCTTAATTCTTTCTGGAATTTTTTCGAGGAAATAAGTGTTTAAGATTTACTTCGTAATTTTTAATATAGATATTTTGAGTTTTTATGTATTTTTGCCTTCTCGCGAAGTGAAAACTGAATTAATTGAATGAGAAATACTCAATCGTCTTTGAAAATCTGTTTCTTTTTTGTTTTGTTTGCTGAATTTCTTTTATACATCATTCTAGTTTTATTATAGTATTTAAATAGAACATGTGGCAACGATTAGATAATTCTATTCTTTAAATGATATAAATTTTGTGCATTATGAGTTATAATATGAACGAAATATATAAGTTAACTGTTATATAATTATTGGATTATATAACAGTTAACTTAGTTTCAGTTATATAATTCTTATATAAGTTAACTGTTATATAATTATTAATACTGTTAAGTGAATCTAGCGCCGGAGTGTCGCTATGGTAAACAAATACTAGAGTGAATTTTAAAGAGTGCATTTATTCTATTGTGGTTTATGCGCTGTCGGCGAAGTAGATTTAATTCAATCCAATAAGTTTAAATGAAATGCAAGAAAAAATGCGTATAATTTAATATTCCATACAAGGAATTCATGTGGTGTACACATCAGATTTTTTTAAATAAGTTAGACTTTAATAATTTATTATTAAATAATTTATCTTGGTGAGTCGTAGCATATATTTATCTTTTTTTATAATGCAAACGTTTCATTTACGAATAGAATTAAATAATATTAATTTTAAACTTTTTTTTTCTTTGATTTGACACTCCATTTAGAATGCATAATTGGAAAATGCGCTTCTGGGTGTACATATACTTTTATCTTATTTATTTTGCACAGAAATTAAAATATTTGAGAACCTCTATTCTGTTGTGCATCCAACATATGCGTGTCCTTTTTTGAAAGTTATTTGAATAATGTCACGATGAAGTTCTGTATCATTTGGTAGTCAATTGTTAAGATTGTAACAATTGACTGTAGTAAGATTATCCTATATGTTATGATAATTTCGCATTCAAATTTGCCCCTCAAGTCAACAGTGTGAAGTTGTATACGAAAATTATTACTTCTTCGTCATTGTGTGTGTGATTATGGCAAAGCCTCGAGGGCTATCTGCCTAAAGGGAGGGATGCCTTTCGTCTCCGTCATTGTGATAGCCATCTCTAGTTAATAACTATTCACATCATCTTCCGGTTTCCTTTTCATTATAAAAGCACGTCTTTAATGATGATGTTCACGGATAGTTTATAAATTCTTTCCTTTAAGTTCTTAAATTGAGTTAAATTTATTCATGAAGCTTCGGAAAATTTTACAATCCCATATAACATTTGAATTCTGCTTTCTTTCTGAAATTTCAAAATTCTGCAACAGTAATGAATGTTTTAAACCCTGGAATATTGAGTGAATATTATATAAATCATATCTAGTCAGGACTTCAAAATGAAATTAGTTCACATTTTTGCATCTATGCCAATCGTTCTTTGCATACTCCTAAATACATAGAAAAGGAATAATTTCATATATGTTTCCATGTAACAGTCAGTTGCTTGTGTATTTAAAAAAAAATAATTTCTAGAAATGAAAACTTGAATTGTTTTGTATGGTGGATTTTCAGCAATTTTATTTTCTTCGTTGCATGAGGTTTATTTAGCTTTTTATTTTGCAAATAATTTTCTATTTGTTTATACACTGTTTGTTGATAAACTAAAATTAATATTACTTCAGTGTTCCTAATAAAAGTGTTCATTACATATATATGATATTTTAAACACGCTTGTGCTGTTACTGAAATTGAATATCCTCATATATGTGTTCAACAATAATCATCTGAAATCAAAATAATGGACTAGTAAAAATCGATCATACACGGGATCATAAACAATTATTTATGATTTAATAATATATAAAATTATTTTATAGTTAATGGATTGGATAATTTTTTTATAAAAGATTTTTTTATACATAGCATTCGCAACTTGACAAGTTCTCAATGCATAATGTTTTTCGATCACTGGAAAATGGAACTTCAAGAGTGCTGTTATTCTGTGAAAAGCATTTTATTACAAGTACAGGGTGTTCGGGATAAATTTTGACAGTTTCGTAAGGGAAAAGAAAATCCGCTTGTATGAGTAGTAGCGAAGGTCTTCATTGAGTGCAAGCTTCATAGTAGAGGCTGCAACATTCATTTCACGTGACAAAGCCCGAATTCCAATGCCAGGGTTCTTCAACACCTGTTCCTGCAGATTTGCGAGGATATTCTGTACGAACGCAATCAGATCATCTGCTATGGATCTTTCTTCTTGCTACATCCTCGTAGTCATCATTGCAAGTCTCTAGTTCATGCCTGATTGTTTTTCCTGTGTTCAGGGAGCATTTTGCAGCAGTCATAATATCATTTTTTTGATGGCCGGCACGAATCATCATGATACAAGTTATTATCTTCCATGATTCAGGTGGGTTCCAGTCATCCATTCTTTCTGACATCTTGTATATGAATGAAGAAGGATCCACAATTTTAAATGACGAGTAGTGTGTGTCAATACTTCCAACCTACGGGAAAATGTAATCAATTATAAATATGTCAAATTTATCCCGAACACCCTGTATAATAATGAGGCTTTTCCTAACTTTTAAAGAAAAGTAATAATTCAAACTTCAAGTGAATGAATATTTGAACAGAAAAATTCTAGTTAAATATTAAATAAGTAAGCAATGATGTTTGCTATAAGAGAGCAAGCACATTTGTTACTTTTCTTTTAACGGGGTTCCAGTCGCAAAATGTGCGGCAAAGCTACAGATGTGGTAACCTGTCTATGTCACATCATGAATAGGTCTGCAATAAATAGCTGTGCATTACAGAAGATCAAAAATAATATTAAAAGGTAATGTTTATTTTTTCTTCCCTATTCAGAATGAGCCGCTCCTGAAGAAATTCTTCATCAGTAGTCCGAAAACAAAAGGCTGTTTTTTAATAAAACAAATGAGTTTTAGATTCCAAGGGAAATTAGTTATAGTATACAGTCAAGAAGTGTTCATTTTTTGTTTTCATTCACTTGTGACTCTGCCGTCTTTCTGGTTTATTTCTGTCTCCAGCTCAATTTGAAGAGCCATTAGATATTTTTTGAAAGCAGGAGAAATGAAAAATGAGCAATGCCCTTGCCGGGACTCGAAACACGGACCTCTCGAATACACGTCGAGCGTGCTGACCATTACACCACGAAGGCATGCTAAGAAGGCGGTAGAAATACCGTATAACTTCAGTTCGTTAACGTTTCGTAATGGACGAAAATTTATTAGAGGTTGGCTCAGTAGCGACAGTTTAATGCAAAGGTTGTCGGCAATGCAGTATTTGTGAAATTCTCTGATTTTTTTACGCGAAAACAGATTATCGCGTAGTCGGAGAGAATAATAGTCTAATAATAATAATAAAATTCTTCTTATGCACACTGCGATACTTTTAACTAAAAAAAAATATCAGAGATTTACTCAAATTCGGCATTGCGCACATGTGCTTTATATGATGCATTATTCTTGTTACAAGCACAATTGTTTTTTCATGAGTCTTTGTATGTCGTTAGGGTTGCTATGTTCTAGTTAAACTTCGAGCCAACGTTAATGTATGGCTCTGAGTGATGCCCTGTTCACAAAAACTACCAGACACTTTATTTCAATTATGATAGTTCAATATAAGTTGTCATTGTGGCACATTTAACAAAAGTGATTTGAGTCTTCCTGAAATCCATTTAGAATATGATTTAATGAAATTTATATTAATTTCCGTTTTTTGTTTCTGTCAAGATATTTATTTATGTTTCTCTTAAAAGGAGCTCCTGCTATGCCGGTATGTGCCCAGTGCCAGTCAAGACAAAACAATTGGTGGGATCTCGTGCAACATATTCAGACAGCGCACAATACAATTCTCTACATAAAAGATGAAGATCTGGTAAGTTTTTTCAAAGAAACACGTTGTTTGCTTTACTTTCTAGGGTTAGTAACTGATTGCATAATTTAGATTTATCGTAACCCTTAACTGAAGGCGTAAATTTTATTTTATGGGAAGCATTCTCTTGGTTCATCTGCATGGAGATACAGTGATATGGATTTTTAATTCAGTTTTTGATATAGTCATTTCTTGGACAGGACATCTAATTAGACGAAAGCAGCTAAGCCATTTAACAGTCGTCCTTATCGAAAAATTCCATTGCACGTTTCATGAAGTTCAAAAGCTGGTGTAATCGAACTATTCAATTACAATATATCATTATTTTTGTTATTTCTAAGTTACTATTCTAGTATTTCTTAGTTAATCGATATGCCATTATTTCCCTTTCGCGAAGATGTCGCTTTTTAGTATGAGACTAAATTCTCCTTTTCCGTCTCCCTTTGAGAATGAAACTGGAATAATAATTCTCTATTCCGGACACAGTATTGGGACACATATCTTCGAACGTATTCAAAGTCAGGCCACAGTGCTAACTGTTTCATTATTTGATGAGCTTTCTGCCTGTAAAGAACTAAGTCATATGTAAATGCTGTAAAAACATTAGGAGAGAAATAAATACGCTCACAGTACCTAACATGAAATGTAAAACTACTGATAGGCAGCTGCTGCATTCTTTCATTTAAACAACTGAGTTTAAAGAATCGAAGTTTCTCGAAATTAGTACTATAATGTTGTTGTTGCGTACTTACGGATTCGTAACATATTGAATGCATACAGGTTCGATGATAGGTTGATAAAATTTATAATAGCCATTTACTGAATACATTTGCTCCAGTATTCTTATTTTTCCGGACGACCATCGGTTCTTTAGATTTTTAGGTTACGTTATACCGAAAACAGTATAACAATCATAAATATAACTGCACTAAAACCAAGTATTTATGTACAAAATTCATAACACTATATGTAAATCTTCATACGATTACAGTTAAAATAGTATAGGCTCATGTCATGTTAAATACCATTCTTAAAGCGAACGGAAATGAGTTATTAGCGAATAAGCTCTGATTTCAAAATTAAATATCTCTACCACAAAGATCGATAGAATTATGCGGTAAACTGTACGCTCATTAGCAAAACTGTAAAAATGATGTACAAAAGTTTAGAAAATTTAGTTACGAAAATCGATGGCGCTCTGCGCTGAAAACTCTTTTCCTGACAGGAGTAAAAAAAAAACCGTAATGCAGCCTTTGCAATCAAAATACAATTTTTTCAAAATCGTCACCGTTTGTAAACAATGAGGTAGGCATAAACGAACGGTGAAATTTGACATCGCGTCTTGCAGTGTCTCAACGGAAATGGGAATCACATGCAATACCAATCAACGATTCAAACTCATCTAGAGTAGCGGGATTGCTTCGATAGACAGTGTCTTTTAATGCAAGGACTCAGAAGTCACAAGGACTCAGATCGGGAAAATATGGAGGTCAAGCTATTCCTGTGTCAGTAAATTGCGGATAACCTAACGCAATTACTCTATTTCCAAAGTATTCATGAAGAAAGCGAAAACCTTTATCTGTTCGATGTGGTCGAGCCCCATCTTGCATGAACCAGTCAATACCTGGTCGATCCTCCAACGCTAGTCGAGTACTGACAAATTGTTTCGAAATTATAACGTAAGGTTCAGTAGTTATTGTTTCTCGCACGAAAAGGAGTCCGATAATGTCTCTGGCGCATACCTCAGCCCATGCAGTAACTTTAGGCGAATGCAGTGCTTTTTCTTAACACAAATAAGGATTTTCGGAACTTCAAAATCTCCAATTTTTTTTTATTAACGATTCCATTCAAATGAAAATGTGCTTCATCCGTGAACCAGATGCAGCTCACATGAAATCTGTCGTTGTCGACCTGTTCACTTCCACGCCTGTCGAATTAATTTCTACCTTTTCGTTGCCCTGAGTTGGCAACACGCTTTTGAGATTTGTCGCTCGTAGGATTCGGTCGCTAAAAGCGTAGCTGGCATGTGACTGTTGTAATTCTTACTTTATGCTTATCTGTACTCCTGAATTATTACTAAATGTTTACGTGTGAATGTTATATTATTAAATGTATTCAGTTTAGTTGAAATAGACCGAGAGTAACTGAATTTATTAAGTATAATCAAAGTCGAAACTGCGTCATCCATGTCGGCGCCATTCTAATACGAAGTACGTAAACATCATTTGGAGGCACGCCGACGAGATCAGATCAAGAATTCGTCAGCAATTCAAGTACAGATAAGTGATATTTTAGTTCGATTTACGTCTAAATTTGATTCTTGAAGTTTTATATCTATTTTGTATTGATTTTGATTTTGAACTTGAATACTTCGATTACTTATTATGAATCAAGCTACTGTCATTAGATTGCGTGGTAGGGCAAAAGCGGCCTTCACAAGGCTTCAGAATACTATTTCTTCCGATTTATCTAAAAATGAAGTAATTTTGCATCTGGAGCGCTTAGAAAGGATTTATTCAGATTTTGATAAATTTGATGCCCAATTACCAGAAGAACAGTCAGAAATTGAAGATTTTGAATCGAAGTATTTTAGTTTGAAACTTCAGTATCAAAATTTATTAGATGTATTAAATGTGGCTAATGTGCCAAATGTTACAGGAAATTCTAATATTAGTAACTTTAAGTTACCTAAGTTGAATATTCCTATTTTTTCGGGTAACTTTAATGACTGGATGAATTTTAAAGATTTGTTTGTTGCAACAGTGCATAATACTTCTTTATCGAATATACAGAAATTTCAGTATTTAATCGGATCACTTGCTGATGAACCAGCTTCTATAATTAAACATATTCCGTTATCAAATAATTCTTATGAAGAAGCATGGGCAAAATTGCTCGCTAGGTACGATAAAAAGAAACAAATCGTACAATCGTTAATTAAAACATTTATGGATCAAAAATGTATTTCACAGGTTGATAATGTTAATTTACGGCAATTAGTTGATACTTCCGATGAAGTTATCAGAGGTTTAAAAGCTCTTGGTGACAAAGCAACTTCTAGGGATCCATGGTTAATATTTATGTCGAAAGTTATGGACACAGAAAACAGCGGAAGATGATTTTCCTACATTGGAATCATTTTTTGAATTTTTAAATTTAAGATGTTCTTCTCTCGAAATTCTCATAAATAAAGAAGCGGAAGCTAAAGTTGTTGATAAAAGTAGTAATGTTAGTTCTAAAACATTACAGAATTCTAAATTTAGTAATACTAAATGTTCGAAATGTAACGGACTTCATGCGTTATATAAATGCGTTAAATTTAAGAATTTGGATGTTACTGCTAGAAAGAACTTTGTGAAAAAACGAGGATTGTGTTTTTTATGTTTAAATTCACATCTAATCAAAAACTGTAATTCACAGTTAAAGTGTAATTTGTGTAATTCAAAAACACATAATAGTTTGTTGCATGAAGATATTAAAGCTAACAACGTACAGCTTTTAAAAGCGCCAAATGAAAACGAAAGCACTCCAGAGAGAATTTCGAATGAATCATGCGAGGGTCAAGGTCAGGTAGTTGTCAGTAATACGATTCAAAATTGCAACTCGGCGATTTTGCCTACAGTTCTCGCACTCGCATTTTCATCCAGTGGCGAAACTATCGAAATTAAATTATTATTGGATTCCGGAAGTGAAAGTTCGTTTATTTCTGAACGAGCTGTTCGAAGATTAGGATTAAAAAGAACAAATCAAAGGTTACTTTTGCGTGGAATTGGCGGAGTGCCAGCTTCCAAAACTCGTGGTTCTGTTGATTTTAAAGTTCGGTCAAAATTAAATAATCAAGTAATTGATGTTAACGCATACATTTTGGATAGGTTAACTTTGCCATTGCCGGAACAAGTGATTAATGTAAAGCATATAGAATACATTAAATCTATTCCGTTAGCGGATCCGAATTTTGCTCAACCCAAAGAAATTGATTTGATTTTAGGAGCTGATTATTTTTTCTCCGTTTTAAGATGTGGCCAAATATATGGTTCGAAAAATGAGCCTGTAGCTCAAAATACAATTTTCGGTTGGGTGATTGCTGGGAAGGTCGGAAATAATATGGAAGGCCCAAAAACAGCAAATTCACACTTCATAAAGTTAGAAGATAATATAAATATTGATTACGAACTTAAGCGTTTCTGGGAAATGGAGGATATTGTCGATGTTGGGAAGAAGGAATTTCTGACACCTGAGGAACAATTTTGTGAATCACATTTTCAAAACACTCATGCTGTTAATTCAGATGGGCGATTTGTTGTAAAACTTCCATTTTATAAATCGCATTTGAAGTTGGGTGATTCAAAACCGGCAGCAATTTCTAGGTTGCGTTCCATGGAACGAAAATTCAAAGATAATCCGGAATTTGAAAAACAGTATAAAGATTTCATACGTGAATATGAACAGTTAGGACATATGACTGTGATTAATGATGATTTATCTAACAGATCGGATACAGAAAAGTTTTATCTTCCTCATCATGCGGTAATTAAACCTTCTAGCACAACGACAAAATTAAGAGTAGTTTTTGATGCATCCTGCAAATCTGAAAATGGTATATCATTGAATTCTCTTTTAGGGGTAGGTCCGAAATTACAAAGAGATATTTTTGAGATTTTGATTAATTTTCGATTTCCTAAAATTGTTTTCACAGGCGATGTGGAGAAGATGTATGTATCGTCAGGTGATGGTAGCTCCTGAAGATCAGAATTATCAATTGATACTTTGGCGATACAATTCCAGTGATAAAATGCGCACGTACAAGTTGAAAACAGTTACTTATGGTCTTTCCTCTGCTTCATTTTTAGCAACTCGATGTCTGAAGCAGGTAGCTTTAGAGTCTAAAGAGGAATCAGATGTATCTCGTATATTTGCAAGAGGATATGTATATGGACGACTTATTGTCGGGTGCAAATACAGTTGATGATGCAGTATTGTCTGCAAGAAAATATCTTCAATTT